GCAAATCCTGTCTCATGTGGGTAATGTGAGGGTGAAGAGATAACTGCTGTGATCTAGGAGGTACTTCCAAGTATTAGCTGTCCATGTCATCAACCCAGTGGCAGTGTGGTGTCGAATTCAAAACATGACAGAGATAGGCTGTTAATTTGAAAGGTTTTTCTTAAAAGTTCTCTGCTTTTATCTGAAGGCACTGTGGATGCTAATCAATCAAGCAACAGATTTTAACAGTTTAGAAGTGAACCTTCAGCTTCCTGTCCTCCTTCCCCTTTACCCTCTCCCGCACTGTCTCTTCCTTCCGTCCTTCTCTTCTTCCCACTCTCTCCCCTCCCTTCACTCCAACTCCCATCAGAATGAATTGAATATCTCATCCAACAGAAAGATGCTGATTTGCCTGCAAATGGAAGATGCTGTGGCTGGATCCCCAGGGACAGAGAAAAACATTTTTTAAACATGGTTCTAGCTGCCTCACACTGACTGCCTAACAGTGGGTCTGTTTGAGCATTGTGGGACCCTCCCATACAGAACTGGCCTATTAAGCTCTTTCCCTGTCGCCAAAGTTGAGGTGGCTGTCACCAGCTAGCCTGGGAAATGTTATTTATAGATCACAGTCCCTCCTACCCTTGGTCCCCATCCTCTTCCTGTGTGCTCATCAGAGAGTTCCAATTATCTGTGAATGGAGAAGAGACACCCTGGAAGGTTCAGAGGAAGCAAGGCATGTGATAATAGGTTCTTACATGCTCCAACTTTCTGTATTTTCCTATTCTTTCCATTTGTTTTTCTTTGTATTTCTACTCCTTCCTCCGTGTTCTCCTTATTGCTTTAATATCATACTATGGTGTATAGCACCAAGTATACCCATACTAGATTACAAAGGTTAGTATTTGAATGGTATGTTACCTCATTTCTCAAGTCCCCATTATCTTCTTCCACACCATGGTGATGACATGTGGCACTTGGGGGAAGAGTTACATGAACACTCCCTATCACCATTCATGATACACAGTGGCACACTGGCAAGGCATGGAATCCCTCCACTGGTTTAGGGTTCCATCTCTAATGGCAATTTTATTACTCAGATTCACTGGGTAGAGACAGAAAATTTATAGGAGATTATTTTGATTAAGGCTGACTTACTGTTTGAAGTTACTTGCATTAAAAAAAAAATCAGTAAGTGTGCTCAAGTGTGTGAGCACACACCACATACAGAATGACCTGAGCTTGTTTTTGAGGTTTTAATCTCCTCAAAATAAGGTGTTGAAAAGTAACATGATGCTCCCTGACCTTGTGGGCTAGGAAGCACCAACAACACTGCTCTTACACTCTCTGGTGCTCCTACTCTTGTATAAAGGAAAGGGGATGAATCACTGATCCACGCCCAAGCCTATGGCTCTCCAGTGGCCATATTCTCGGAATCTTGTAACTTATGGCAACTGAACCTGTTTCTATCCTGCGCACTCTGGTTGTGCCATACAGTCTGTCTAGTAGCTCCCATCTATCCTTCTGTCCATCATCTCCAACATGAAGTCCTTTTCTCCCCTCTGTCACCCCACTTTTCCCTCTGTTTCCTCTTTCCTGGGCTTTGCACCCCTTAGACCCCTCCTTCACACCACTTCCCTTCTGGGTCCTGGTGCTGTATCATTAATGCCCCCTTTGATACAGCCCACAACCTCATGATTATTCCAAGCTCAGGAGACGCAGGTGCCATGCAGCCTGCTAATGTGTCTCAGAGGGCCTCTGTCCCCGATCCCTCCTGCCTGACAAGGCTGGAATCCTAATTCCCCAGCAGCCCCCTGGCTTGTAGCAGCATCACCAGGAACTTTCATCTTTTTATTCTCCTCACTGAGGATTCTGAGAGTTCCACCACAATGGAGCATTGATAGGAGGAGCGGGGGCTGTGATCCCGACAAAGGGTCCCAAAGATGAGACACGAGAAAGGGGGCGCTCTACGGGCTTATAGAATGCCTTGCAGATGGGAACAGAAGCGCTCTAAATGGGGTACTGTGCTGTCACTTGGAGAGGGAGTGACAGGGGCAAGTGTGGGCCATTTGAAAGAGGCATTTTGAAATAACGCTCTTGTCAGATGTAACCACGCAATCGCAGCCGCATGGAGGGCCCCTGCAGCTCGCAAAAAATATCAGATGACTCATACCCAATATTCAGTCAATGTTCTGATTTGGGAAGTGAGAGCCACACAGCTCATTATGATTCTTGCTCCGTTTCCTGAAAGCTGGGCCTGCTGTTCTCCAGGCTGTAATAGGATTGGTCTCACGAAGCAGAGACCAGAGAGGCCTGCGGCTGTGTGGGTGGATGGTATGGAAAACTAATACTGCCGTCCTGAGGGGAGAGGGAGAAGTTTGTTTTCTTTCCTCTTTTTTTTTCCTTTTTGTTAATAAAACGTAAGAAGGAAAATATTTTTTTTTGTTCATTCATTTAGCAAACATTTATAGTTAGTGAGGTTGTGTGCTAGGTGCTGGGGGAAGAAGGGCTCCCCCACCTGCCAAACCTGAGAAGCTGGAGGAGAAACTAAAAATGAGGCAAACAGTTCAAATATAATGCCTTGGGGTGTTGTGAAGGAGGTTTTATTACCAGGTGGGGATGTTTCTGTGGATTAAACAGGTAGACAATTTCAGAAAGCTAATTATTCCACCATTTTGCTCAGCTGATAAGCAACTCATTTAAAACCTAAGCCAGTCAGGCAGCCATTTGAACAGTATCCATTTTCAAATGGCTGTAACAAAAGGGTTTCCTTTAGACTTCAGAGCAGCATCCCAGAGAATGTCTCAGGACCTTCAAAGGAAGAGCTTATTCTCTGAGATATGAGCACTGTGTATCATTACATTTTTTTTTATATAATTACTGTATGCTAGACTTTTCTCAGCACTTTAAATATATCATCTCAGCAACCCTCCTGGAAGTCTCTTGAGATAGACTTTATTATCCCCATTTTAGCAAAGAATGCCAAGGATTCAAGAGATGCAATGACTCATTTCCAGTCTCAGGACAGTTTTCTTTTCTTTCTTTTTTTTTTTTTTCTATTTGTTTGTTTCATTTTTCCCTGACTTCAGTTCTGTTTGAACCAACAACACCCATGCCCTTCAACCTTAGACTCTACTGCCTCTTCAATGACTTGGGAGTTGATAATTTGGCAACTGTAAGCCAGGACAGACTCTTGGCTAACATGTTCCACTGCAGGGGTAGAGTGCAGATGGGCTTCTGTTAACAACCTCATAGCCCTGGAAAATCATAACGATGGGCTCCAGCAGCAGCAGCAGTGATGTCATCCCAGCCCTTGCATGTAGTCTTAAGACAGGGGTTTATTTTTTTCTTTTTAAATTCTGGATTGATAGAAAATGCCCAAAGCTAAGTGAGTGTGTCAAGGGACTTCCCTTCTCACTGGTCGTGTGATTGTAAATCCACCATTTAGCCTTGGAGCTTCTGTGGCCATGCTTATAAAATAAACTGACAATTCCTTTGCACCAAGAGCAGTGTTTTGTTGAACCCTTAATGCCTACCAAATTTAAAGCTAGATTCCACATAAAAATTAATGTAATCCTTACAACAGCCCTGTGTGATAGAAGGAGTGAGTGGGGAGACTAAGGAAACTGTCCACTGATACCTCTGTTCATATACAGAAGAGTCAAAAATTATATTAAATCTCTAATGATGCTTGAATCTCAAGTCATTGTCTAGGTGTTGGTGACAGGTGCAAGTAGGAAACTTGGAGTAACAATGCCATATGCAGGCTAAAGACTGCTAGGCAGATACAAAGGACTATTGGTAAAGTGGAAGACAGCCAAGAGGAGACTTCAACAGAAATGGGGAAAACAAGAGGCCTCTGGGGTGACTGCCTTACATATTTTTTGTATATTCTTCTGCTATTTCTTATTGGCTCACAGATGTTTCTTCATTGAAATATTTTAGGGTCTAGAATCTGGGTCCAGATACTAGTATCATTCACAGTGAGGGGAGACAATGGTCAGGGGTTATAGAGACACAGTTTGCAATAAAAATGCCACACAATTGAGAATTTAGAACTCTGGACACCTCAAGAACATATACTTTTACTGCATGTTATGGAAAACTACTGTGTGAGAATCATACCAGATATATGGAAGCACTCATGAACTCTAGAATATGATACATTGAAGTTTTTTGTTGTTATTGTTCTTAGCAGGGCTGGGCATTTCATAACCTCATCAAAGAAAGGTGTGGAGAGCATTAAATCCTCTGATGTTTACATAAAAAACATAATGACCCTCAAATCTTTCCCATGGGGGCTTGTTCATGATGTGTTCTCATCCTGAAAGTGTTTTCATGTTTAGACACTATGCTTCCTAAACCAAACTTCTCAGTGCCTATGGAATGGATAGACATGGATAGACATTTGGCCTAAGCCCTCCTCTTCAAAGATGTCCATAGAGGATGTTAGAAGTGTAACGTACAAAGTGGTACAACTGGCTTTGTGCCATTATACAGGATAACAATGTATTTATATGTATTTATTAGTACTTATTCACTCTACATGGTCTTATAGTTGATTTACTTATTCTTTTCTGCGTGGATATGTGTTTTCACATTTGTGTGAGTATGACTGTAGCTGGGTTCACATGCCCATGAGTGTATAAGCATGTGGAAATTAGAGGCCAAACTTGGACATCGTTCTTCAGAAGCCATCAAATTTGTTTTTTTAAATGTCTCTCACTGGGTCATAGGGCTCTCCAATTAGGCTAGATAGATGGCCAGTGAGTCTCAGGGATCCTCCTATCTTTGGCCTCCACATTCTAAGATTGTAAGTGTGGGTGGGCCAGCTTTTTACATGGATACTTGGGATTAATCTTCATTCCTTGTACTTGAACGGCAAGCATTTTACCAACTAAGCCGTCACTCTAATGCCCCTTTTCATTCATTGGGAGGCTCCAACTTGCATGATCAGTTGTATAATGCACCTCACAACCCCATTCATGGTAACTCACATTCTCCATTTTCCTTCTTTTTCACAGGACAATTCAGCAGTGGCTTGCAAGGGTCCAGTCACTTCTCTACTGCAATGAGAATGGGTTCTGGGGAACCTTCCTGGAGAGCCAGAGGAGTTGTGTATGCCATGGTAGTACCACACTGTGCCAGCGTCCCATCCCATGCATCATAGGTGGGAACAACAGCTGTGCCATGTGCAGCCTGGCAAACATCTCACTCTGTGGCTCCTGCAATAAGGGCTACAAGCTGTACAGAGGCCGCTGTGAACCACAGAATGTGGACTCTGAACGGAGCGAGCAGTTCATCAGCTTTGAGACCGACCTGGACTTCCAGGACTTGGAACTGAAGTACCTGTTGCAGAAGATGGACTCGCGTCTCTATGTTCACACTACCTTCATCAGCAATGAGATTCGCCTTGATACGTTCTTCGACCCTCGGTGGCGCAAGCGCATGTCCCTCACTCTCAAGAGCAACAAGAACCGCATGGACTTCATCCACATGGTGATTGGCATGTCCATGCGTATCTGCCAGATGCGCAACAGCAGCCTGGACCCTATGTTCTTTGTCTATGTCAATCCTTTCAGTGGAAGCCATTCAGAGGGCTGGAATATGCCCTTTGGGGAATTTGGCTACCCACGTTGGGAGAAGATCCGTCTGCAAAACAGCCAATGCTACAACTGGACTCTCTTGCTGGGCAATCGGTGGAAAACTTTTTTTGAGACTGTCCATATTTACCTGCGTAGTCGGACTCGGCTACCTACCCTACGTAATGAGACCGGCCAGGGCCCCGTGGACCTGTCGGATCCCTCCAAGAGGCAATTCTACATTAAGATATCAGATGTGCAGGTGTTCGGGTACAGCCTGAGGTTCAGCGCTGACCTCCTTCGAAGTGCCGTGCAGCAAGTGAATCAGTCCTACACACAGGGTGGTCAGTTCTACTCCTCTTCATCCGTGATGCTCCTCATGTTGGACATTCGGGACCGAATTAATCGTCTGGCCCCTCCTGTGGCCCCAGGAAAACCCCAGCTGGACTTGTTTTCCTGTATGCTGAAGCACCGCCTGAAGCTGACTAACAGTGAGATTATCAGGGTGAACCATGCCTTGGACCTCTACAACACTGAGATCCTCAAACAGTCTGACCAGATGACAGCCAAACTCTGCTAACCCGGGACCCTTTGCCATGAACTTTCCTTTCTGTTGTACACATACAACAGAATAAAATAAAGCAAAACAAAAGAAAACACATACAAACACACACAAATTTGTAAAATGTAATTAATATTCAAAAGAAAGGAGGAAAAAAAATCTTCATTTGTTGGAAACTAAAGTGTTCTAGCAACTGTATAAAACTGTGGGGCATGTCTGTTACTACTATATTCTGTCATGAAGATGGGTCTCAGACTTTTGTGGAGCTTTGAGGTGGTGGCTTCTTGGGCCTCAGGTGCTGTGTGGAGGGGGGGAGAAGGGGAGAGCATATGAAATGAATTGTAAAGACCTCTGCTGTGCAGGTGCTAAGATTAAACACTAAAAGAGAAAGAAAGAGATATATGTAATGTACCTCTGACACTGCCATTTTTCCTTGTGGGAGGAAATGGACGTAGATAAAGAAGATATTTCTTCGGTTAACATTTCTTCCCTCTCTATGCTTAATTCTTTGTGCTTCTTTTAATGCTTTGATGGGTTGGGGGATGCAAAGCATTGCAGTCTTACCTATAGGGCTTCTTTACTTCTCAATAAACGGAAGATAATGGAAGCTGGCTAATAGGTGGGGCTGGAAGAACATAAGCTGACACAACTGTAGAACAGCGAATAACTTTAGATACTACCTTCTCAAGCCCCTTAGTCTAGAAATTAGGGTCAAAGGAAAACAGCATGCTCATGAATACACCCATAATAACTGCCCCAGTACTGGTTTGAATCTGACCTTCTGGTTCCCTTGCCCACATACATTCTTTCTAAGTACTGTGGACACTTTTGTGTTTTCTGCTCCAAAAGTTTTTACTAAAGGGTAAAAGATTTCTCTATTCAAGATTGTATTTGATAGCTGTTTTGCTTGTGTAAAATTTTTTTCCACCTACTTTCTCTAAGAAGAAATATAGTATCATATTGTTCAGAAATATTTTCCCTATTAAGGGTGTTTTTTAATTTTAATATAGCCAATGACCAAGTAATAACAATAATAATTATGTAAGTTTTAGTACTGTGTTAGAATACCAAAGGCTTCTCAAGTACTTTTTAATTACTGTTGGAATAACTTAGAATACACATGAGCACAAGTGCATATGCATCAACCACTTGCCACGCGTGTGTGCACAGTATAAACACTGCCACTTCTTGTGAGGGCCTTGGGTTTAGTAGCATGAGAGACACAAGAATGCAGGCTCTTCTCAAGACACTTCTGCAGAAGATTTGGGAGGACATTGCTTATTAGCCTTAGGGTATCAGCATTTGTTTTTCCACTGGATAGTATGGGGCAAGAGATACTTGTCTGCAATCTAGATAGTCATTTGGGCATTGGGAGCGAAATGCAGAATCATGAATGTGTACAGTGGAAAATAGAAATATTCTGATCTAAGTCATCATTGCTTGCCTGGACAGGAAACTGCTTAATTCTCTTTTACACTTTCCTTGAATGCTGCTTTCACCAATGGGAAGGAATAATTCCCATTTCAGCTTATGTTATAAAAGCTATCTAATGATTAGCTATCACTCCATACTTTACACACCCGCAACCCAGCACACACTGGCTTCAGTTCTGTTACATGCATTTGTCTTTCATGATATGTTCTCTACACTGTAGATGTCACCAGCACACCATATGAACCCATTCAAATAATACTTTAGAGTGAAAAGGGAGGGCTTCAGTGTAAAAAAAAAAAAAATTCCTGGCTTCTTAGAGTGAATATGAGGGGCAAAATATTTTTTTTCATAAAACTAAATTAAAATTTTAATATTATTATTTTAGATATGAATTAACCTACATTTACATTCTCAGCTTTTGTTCATATAGTTTGGAAATCCTTTATGTAAGGAATCACTTTACAGAATGTCCCCAGAGCATAAGCAGATCCAGGAACTCATCAAACAATTTTTAAGCATCTAGTACATGAATGGAGAATATCTGAAATATAAATATTGAAAGGAAATTGTCCATGTTTTCTGACATTCAAATAGTAATTAAAGGGATAAACATGTAAGCCGATGACTTAAATATATTTTTATATATACATATTTAGGATATATACATATATATCACCAAGATGAGTGTCATTATAGAATTGGGCATATAGAAAATAGCCCTGAGGAAACTATAATCTGCTTGGCAGTCTGGAAAAGAAACTCTCTATAGAAGAAATAGTTATATTGTCAGTGTTGGAAAATAATTAGAACTTTGACAAGTAGAAGGAACATGATCAGAGAAAGGATGAAAACAAATACATATCTTCTGAAGAGCATTTAGGACTAGCCCTAACAACAACTTCTCAAAGTGTCATTTTTAAGTGAAAATACTGTCTGCAAGAGTGAGAATATTGATTCTATAGGAGAAATAGAGACAACCATCCACAATCATCATGACCTAAACAATTTTTCAGACAGATTACCCTCAGCTCACTTTCCTTTCTCCCTTATCTCCAACTCCCAAGGACTTCCCCATAACTCCTTCCTGGAATCTCCTTGCAAGCTGAAGGGCTTGGAAGGTTGCTAGGCAGTCTTCATCTTCATGACAATGCTCCTTCATCCTTATCACAATGACATTAGGACCTTCAATCTAGTCCTCATCAGTCTTTACCCAAGGTATTTGTGGGGAAAAGTCACTCCCCCTTCACCTTGCAAATATGAGGCAGTCATTTCATCTTGGAGATACATACAGTGTATGATGTTGAAAAATTAGGGAAATATAGTTATTTTAAAGAAGAAAAATTAAATCACTAAAATGTAGTCTAAGATGAGAGTTAAAGGCTTGGCACTGATGGAACACAAAAATCCTGTAGAGTTCCATTGTCTTGTGCTTCAGTCTGACTCTGAGCCCTTTGAAATACAAAGATTGTCTCTAACTGTGAGGAAGAGAATCCTGAAGCCTTTGAGTGGGATTTTAATTCAATTAGATTCTTACCAATTTCATGCAGCAACTGAAGACCTACAGTCTCTGATTAATATGCTGATGCTAAGACACAAGAGTGAACAGAATGCCCATTTGGATAAGGCTTGGCAGCAAAGCATGTCATCACCATGGAAACCACAGAAAGCCATTAATTAGCTATCAAGTAAAATCATTGGAAAATTCTAGACCATGGCATATCTGCCCTCTTTAAAGTCTAGGGTGACGAGAGGGTTGCACTAACAGTAAGACTTTCTTTAGAGATTAAAATTATAGTTACCCAGAGACTGCATCTTTTAATGTAGAAAAAATGTTAGTATGCAAAACTAATGAACACAATGACAATGAGACTTAAGGTTATTCTAGTAGAAAAATATAATTTCTGATATGTAGTTGCTTCTTGGGTTGTCTAAGTTAAAATAAAATAATCTTAATAATAAATAATATAACTTATTCATGGTTCTGTGAGAAGAAAATGATCATAATAGAAATATGGATCCACTAGATGGTGATAAATGATCATGAGAGGATATCACAACACTAAAAGGAGGGAGGAGTGACTAACTGCTAATGGAATAGACGCAGAATGTATCACTTGCCAATTAATAGAGGAGGAAAACAAATATTAAGAAGGCAGTACAGGAGAAAAGTAAAATAGCCAGATACATATACAGACAGCAACAAAAACTTTTTATCTAAATAATCACACTAACTGTAATTGGATAAAATTGATATATTAAAAAACAGTTTGTCAGGTTTCAAGTTATTGGTTAACAGATAAACAAATAATGTTTGAAGATAAGAGAATGAGTAAAGAAACACTGGAAAAATATCAGTAAAATAAAATAGATGTTGCATTGTTAATGGCTGTCAAGAGAATTCAAAAATTAAAATAGTCGCTTTATTACAAAGAACAAATAGACAACTAAACACATAAAAAGAAGACACTTAGTATTAAATGAGTATTAGAAGATCTTTCAAATTTCAGCAATGAAGAATTAGTCAAAAAGTTATGTCATCAGTTTTCTTCACTGACTGTGAACTTAGCGGCCTTTTCACTATCTCAAAATTAAAGGTCACTGATGCTAATTACCTAACCAATACAAGAATCTGCCTTATGGAATTTCAACCAGTGGGTTACAGAAATCACAGCCATGTGGTTTATATGCTTTCTTTACAATTTCCACTGCTCTGCTCCCCTCTAACATCATCATCACGAAAATCTTACCCCAAGGAACTCTTTTTTATATATTTTTTTATTTTATTTTATTTTACAATACAATTCAGTTCTACATATCAGCCACAGATTCCCTTGTTCTCCCCCCTCCCGCCCCCTCCCCTTCCCCCAGCCCACCTCTCATTCCCACCTCCTACAGGGCAAAGCCTCCCCCGAGGACTGAGATCAACCTGGTAGACTCAGTCTAGGCAAGTTGGGCTGGAGAGATGTCTCAGAGGTTAAGAGCACTGACTGCTCTTCCAGAGATCCTGAGTTCAATTCCTGGCAACCACATGGTGGCTCACAACCATCTGTAATGAGATCTGGCATCCTCTTCTGGTCTGCAGGCATACATGCAGACAGAACACTGTATACATAATAAATAAACTCCAAGGTACTCTTACTACTAGGGATCAGCCAAATTGTTGGATGGTTATAGTGATCTTAGGGTGAGTGGAGGTCATTTTCTTCCTTCCTCTTATATAGTACCAGAAGCTACAGATTGATCAACTTTCCCCTGGAGGGAAGTGGCTGCTTATGTGACTGTTAATATTCTGGCATTGCTTCTTGCAAAACAGAATCAAAGCCTGCAGTTAGAAGCACAATCATTCTTTACACTTCAGCACTTGATCTTTCAGCATACTGAGTCAGTTCTATGGTACACTATGTTGGCTTGTAACAATCTTCCCTACTCAATAAACTTACCGATAAAGAAGGATGTAAGGATAAAAAGGGATAGAGACAAATCAAGGATAAAGAAGTCACCTTACTTTTGTTATATAGATTTAGTATGCCTGAAGAATTAAAAAAAAAATCCTGTCTTTGGGAGATGTAAAAGATTTGGTCTTTGCCTAATAAAATTATACCTTTATATACACTTTGAAGCAACATTTCCATGATCCATTAACAGTTTCTCTTGAGCATTCTGAAATGTTGCAAAACTTGAGTCATATCTCTGATCAACATTACATTACCACTTTCGTTCCCTTTTGACTGAAGCACAATTTGCTCTAAGACAAAATACCAAATCCATGTAGTTTATGTGCCATAATCTTGCTATCTATCATTGTTTCATGAAGTATGACAAGTTGATAGGAATTGTAGTATGATTACTTTAATGAAAATCAACATATTCTAGGTCCAAATGTATTGCATTAATTTGTGCTTTGTAAGTATAACTAAATAAAGGGCTGTTACAGCAAAAACAGTGAGTTTGGGGAAAGGATGAGAAATAAAGACACTATTGAATCAGAAACAGCCTTACTCACAAGCCACGAATAAGGGAGTACCTGAAATTTCAGGGGAGAGTGC